CTTTCACCTCTTCATCAATCCTGTCTTGCCAAAAGGGGCTTTACACTACATTTTTAAACTGAACATTAACACCCCCCCTTCAGAGTGCGGCCTGTATTCCCCATCTCCAGGACTCAAGTCCGGCCTGCCTTTTTCCCCTGCCCCTTCAAAAAATGTTCTTTGCTCACACTCCAACAGCACCAAGTATTAAAAACCATTTGTTTCCTTCACTCTACAAACACGCTCAGCATCCCTGGGGAATCCAAGCCCCGCACAAAAAACCTCCTTTACCCCGTCCCCAAATTTCCTGGGCCCGACCCTACCCCCCTTTTTCACTACAGCTGATACATCTTGAAGTCCCTGTTTCGCTCCTTCTTCTACATGCGAACCCCCTCAAAAACCCTTTTCCCTCAGCCCTTGGACAACATTTTTGGGTAACCCGCCCCTCCCCAAAATTCCAAACTACAATTTTTTTCCTGCATTATATTCAACCACACATTCCCCTCAGACATGACTTTTCCCACGCCTCCACCTTTCTCCTCGCTGCAAATTCATCCCCCATGCTTCACCCCATATAAGAGCTTTGGTAAAATATACCCTACATTCCCTCTTTGCCCCCAAAGGACAAAGTTTTTTTGTCCCCACAGACTCCTAATGCACCCTCCCCCTTTTCCCTCCAATTCTTGATTACCCATTTTTCTTGACCATCCGCTGACCCCCACCCCAAATATCTAAATACATTCCCCTCCCCCATCTCTCCCCAATTTTGTATTCAATCTTTCATCACCAATTTTTTGTTATCTAAACCTTACTCTTTCCTGTATTCATTTTTAATTTCTTCTTTTGCACACCCTCCCAAATTCATCCACCAATCTCTGCAACTTTTAAATCCCCCAAGAGCCAGTGTCATCAGCAAAAGCAACTGTGAAAACCCCCCCCATTTATGTGTTTTTCTTTATCTTTTAACCCCAGCCTCTTCCCAAAGCCCTCGCTTTTACTTCTTTACAACCCATGTATAAATATTTAAACAACCCGGGACACACACATCTTGTCAAACCTACTTTTTGGGGAAAAAAATTTCCTTTTTCCCAAATACTCTAATTTGAACCTCACTATCCTTGTAAAAACTTTTCACGTTTTCAGTAACCTACCTCCTACCCCATACCCCTGCAACATCTCCAATTGCCCCCCTATCCCCCCGTTAGCTTTTTCCAAATCCATAAATCCCAAAAAACCCCTCTTTACCCTTTTTAAATATGTTCACTTTTATTTTACTGTAAACCCCGTTATTGCAAAAGAAAAAAAAAGTTAAAGAAACCCCTTTTTTCTCCCAAAGGGGATTAAGTGAAAAAATGAAAAAATGGCGGGAAAATTTTATTTAAGGGGAAGGTCATGTGGAAAAAAAAAATGAATATGCTTTTGGCCCAAAAGCCAATGAAGGAGAATTTATTTTCTTTTCAGAATCGCTTGGTCCCCCAGTTTAGTTTTTTCAGGGCCCTTACTTTGCGAGCTTTTAAAGGTTCTGTGCGTTGACTCAATTTTCTCGTATATCAAATCAATTTTCCCATTGTAATTAATTAAAAACCATTAATTGTTTCCCCCCCCCCAAAAAAACCACCCAATTTTTTTTTTTAGGGGTTTTTTAAATAAAAAAATTATTTTAATAAAAAATAGTCAAAAACACAATAAAAAAATTATAAAAGAGAAGTAAAGAAATAAATGTTTTAAAAGTATTTTCTTTGGGGATCAGACACTTGAGCTAAGGAAAGGGGGCTGGGAGAGGGGGGGGGGGAAAAATAAGGGAGAGGAAATTGGAGGGGTTTTTCGTTTTTTTGCTTTTTCGGGCTCTTTGCATAAACTCCTAATTTAATTTTTTAACTTTCTTGGCTACACTCTTAATGCTACACTTTATCACAGAAAATTAAAAATACAATTTTTTTTTTTTTTTCCCCTTTTATGATTTTGCCTTTTCCACCACTGCCGTTGGGTTTGAAACTCCAAGTCCCTTTGGACACAATAGGGCCCGCTTCTTCCATGCAGGTTTAAAGGGCCTCCTTGTAAAACCCTGCCGGCCATTTTTAAATTTGAGCAATCACTGGTTAGAAAAAAGAAATTTGGCAAAATAACTGCAAAAAAGCACAAAACACAAGAACAGCACAAGAGAGATGCTTCCACGGCGAGGAAACCACATGCACTGAACGAGTGAGACACAGGATGCTGTGATATTTGCTGCACCAACTAGTGGCTGCATATCTGAAGCTCACTCGTAACTCAGATTTTGGATCGCAACTCGAAGCAAAAAATACTGAGCGACGGCTCGTAACTCGGAAAACTCGTAAGTTGGGGCACTCATAAGTCAAGGTACCACTGTATTTGCATAAAAAGTTATTTGTTATTAGCACAATAACACACTGGCAAAATGCACATCATTAATATTAAACTTAATTCAGTCATCATTCAAAAATGGTAAAATGAAAATAATTTAAAAAGGAATGTAGGCCTTTGCTGCTAGGCTTGACAAGTTGACACAATAACATTACTATAAGGCTTTAGCAAACCAAATAATGCCTGCTTTATAGGAATCCACTCTTAAATCTCTATCAAAAATTAATCACAACAGTCAACAGTTCATCATATACATGATATATGAACACTTTTCACTTAATCTCTGGAGGCCATCCAGCTGGAGGCCCCTGGGCTTTAAGCTCATGCCTTAATCTAATCCTGATCACTACGAGGGAACAACTAACCTGTTTTTTCCACATGACACAAGTGAAAAGTTACAGTATACTGTAACGAATGCATGAAAGAATTAAGATTAGTTTTATTTCTTAATGTTCATGGGACCAATTTATAACAAGTATTCCTTTAAAATAGGATTATTGTACAATTTAACAATTTGGATATTAGCAACTCCCTGAATGGCTGCTGTCATCTAGTCTCCTACCTTTTGTATATTAACATTTAAACTTATACTTCCATGTTTACCTATATTCATGCAATAAACGTTGACCAAGCTGTCCTTTGAAAATACTGCAGCTTGTCATGTAGTAGCACATCATTCATCTCTGAATTACTCCAGAACTTTGATACAGCATCACTTTGATGTGCATTTATTATGTTATTGTCAGGAGGATACACCTGTAATTGAGGGGCAGCTAAAGGAAAAGAAAAGCAAGTGGAAAATTTTTCGCAAGTGGCGCACAAGGTACTTTACTCTGTCAGGAGCACATCTCTCTTACAGAGGAGCTGGCACAGTAAGTAAAAGAATGTTACCTCTCTGTTATAAATAAAGGTGAATCTGTTATAGCTTAAACCTTTTTTATTACAATGTAAATATAACTTGATAATAATAATTCATAGAGTACATGAAATTCTTTGGAACATATTAAACTTTTACTGGGCGTGTAATGCCTCTTGAAAATATACCATAGTTAAGTTTGTGTCGGTTTGTATTGTCTCCTTTGAAACATTGAAGTATGAATTATATACTTAATGGGGGTACAGTATTTAATTCTTTACCAGTTGTTAAACAGGTGTGTGACTTTTTTTTTTTTGTTCAAAAAAAAAGAAGTGGTAAAAAATTTTTCACAAAACAGTTACATTATATTTATGATCATAAAGCTAGCACACTACTACCAGATAACTGAAATGGTTACTAAGAAAGGTAATTATGTTTACCTTTTATTCATTACAGAGCATGATTCTGATCTGGTAGCATTTTTAACAGTGTATAGATACATAATAATTACTAAATTTAAAATTACTAGATTTAAAAAGAGAAACTTTTGTTTTTCTTTTTGGGCCACCCCGCTTCGGTGGGATACGGCCGGTGTGTTGAAAGAAAGATAGATACATAATACAAAAGTAGTAGTAGTAAGGATGAATTTTAAAAATTGCCATTTTTTTTTTTATAATGTAGAATCATTTATCAACCCGTTTGTAT